GAATGGGCTTATGAAATTTCTCAAGTTAGGTATATTGTTTCTCATTTGTTTTGTGAAACCAGAGTAGTATTAGTGTACTCACTGATCGAAAGGCTTCTAAATCATGCATTATATTTTTATGGCAGGATCTAAGGGGAGGCAAGCATGATGAAATTTAAATTGCAATGTAAGTCATAATGAAATGTGAAAGAAGATATCTATAAGATGACTAATATTCACATGTACAGATTTATTTCACAGATTTTAACCTCTTTTTATTTGTATGTACTCATGTGATTTTGCTCTTTCTGCTGTGGTTGTTGTTTCGTGCCTTGCCAGAGATCAAACCCAGGACCTTGTGAGTGCTAACCACAGCACTATATTGCTAAGCTATAACCTTAATCTTTATAAATTTGAGGACTGAATAAAAAAGGATAAAAATAATATTTAAGACAGATCCTGAAGCAAAACCCAGCAACCAACAATATTTCAATCATATTGTTGTTTCAATAATATTAATTAGTAACTAATTAATCTTGAAACTCTTATGCCAGTTTACGTCTTTCTATTATTCAGTATTACATTATTTGAAAATAGAATATTAACTGTTGTATTAGTCAAAATGAAATGAGAACTATCCACAATGGTTAGAGTCTTTTTAATGCAAATGGTGTGTGGATACAGAGGCACAGAAACATCCCTTGATAGGACAGAAGGCCATTCACCTGGATGACAGAAACCATGTTGGGGGTAATAGTGCCTCATGAAAATGAACAAGGATTTCCAGTGGGTTTCAGAAAATAGAACACACACACACACACACACACACACACACACACACACACAACACTTTCCTATAGCCATTAAAGTGTGTCTGCTGAGAATTTAACTTCTAACATTTTCCTCCAGAATGACACTGTCCCTAGACACCTTAGGCAGTGAAAATGGTGGCCTATGAAGCTACAAAACTATGAGTGTCCAGTTGGCTTTCTAGAGACATTCAGGGATGTGAATATTCTGTGATTTCAAGAATAAGCTGAGACAGGACAAAGGGAAACCAGCCATTATGTGAGAGGAAAAAAACTGACAGTAAATTGAGACTAAATGTATAAGCAAAAATAATCTGAAAATGATGAATTTATTGTGAGAAAGAAGGACCATGTGAAATGTTAGCAAGAATTAGCTATGGACTGTGAGCAAGCATTTGGATGTATAAATGTATACTGACCACTGATGCCATTTTTAATGTATAATATGGTTTACCTCATCCCTGACAGATGCTTGCTTTAGTCTCTTTCAACCAAATTAAAAACACTTGACAGAATACACATCAGAAAGATACAGACTACAGCACTAGGGAACTGAGGGCATGGCTTGGCCAATAAAATGCTTGCTCTGCAAACATGAGGACCTGAACTTGGATCCCCAGTGTTCATGTACAACCTAGGTCTTTCGATCTGCAACAAAACCCCACTGCTGAGAATGTGGAGACAAGAGGATTTATAGGGCTCAATGGCCAACCAGTTTTACCAGTCATTGAGCTCCTGGTCAGCCAATGGGAGACCCCATTTCAAAATGTTAGGTAGAAATAAACAGAGGAAGATTCAGTGTTGACTTTTAGCCTGTACAAATACGCAGATGGATATGCACACTACACAACATGCAAATGAACATATCACACACACACACACACACACACACACACACACACTCATACTCACATACACCAAAGTTATGTCCTGACTAGAGTTTGCAGATTACGGTCAATATCACACAGTGTACACTAGGGCAAAGATGGACCAGCCGATGAGCTTAAAAAACCAGGGGATTTTCTAAGAGAAACATTATGCTGGATTCTGAAGGATGAGGGAAAAGGGTCCTAATGTGAAAGCTTCTCCTCACTGAAATCCCTATTCTAGAAAGGGATGACTGGCATTTTAAAGGTAACATAGGACCTTTGGAACCACTAGATATAGTTTCTAAACCTGACTCTAAAAAATTTATTAAGTAAATACAATAAGTCCTTCAATTCCTGGAACTTTCATTTGTTTTCTTATATCTGTGAAATTAAGAAAAAAGGGAAGAACTTTCTAAATGAACATGGAAAGCAGGAACTCAATCATGATGAATTCGTTTAGTAAGGATAGAGACGTAATTTTATCTGGTTTGACAAGGGCAATTTTTAGAATATGAATGTGATTCTTTTGAAGAAGGATTTTCATCACCATGTTTAATTATAGGGTTTTATGTCTGATTTTAGTATAAGTTTTGCACTATTATTTTCAATTGCAGATTTTTATCATATTAACACATTCAATGTGCGTTTCTGTTTGAGAGCACAGTGTGTTATTCCATGTGAGTTAGATCTTCTCACTCTTCTTAGGTGTGAAACCCAGGCTTGGAATGCATGTAATCAAATACTGTTGTACCTGCTGAGCCATCTCACCGGTTCTCACTACTATATTTTTAAGTAGTATGGATAACTGCTGTTATGTAGTTCTTGCACACAGAAAGGCATTGAGGTAATAATTTAGCTCAAAGGTATATTAAAAAAAAAGGAAGAAAAAAGGAGAAAGATATAATTTGAGTGTATCAACATTAAAAGGATCCACTAAAATTTTATGCGGTACTTGGTGGTGACCAGAGTGCATTCTATTACAATTATTTATTTCAGGACCATATTTGGAAAGGAGGAGATAACTGCATCTCAAAAATCACTTTTATTTCTAATTTCCAAATTGTAAACAGCAAATCTCTGCCTATGTTCATGCAGAGGAAGTATCCCATTTATGCATAGCACTAGTAATGTGCACTAGAGAGAAAAATGAGACCAAGTGGGAGATAAATGCAGTACGATGCATTGCTGCTCTCAATGCACTTCTGACCTGGCATTTAGCCCATTCTTTTTCGTTTGTTATATTGATAGTACATGCCTCGTGACAGTTTGCTACCTCTGGGACTGTAAACCTAAACTGTTTACCATTGTGTAGTATTTAGGTAGGAATGTGGTGATAGAAAGTGTTGTTCCTTTGTTACAGTTATAAGAATAAAACTGGAGAAGGGGAGAGGTCCCAAGTGAGGGTCCCAAGTGAGTGGGGTCCCAAAGTAAAGGCATAGCAGGTTCCATGGCAGGTGAGGGTGACCAAGGCAGCGAAGCAGAAGGGATAACAGGCCAGACAGATAGAGCTTAAATGAGGAGTTTATTTAGAAAGGGGAGTGAGCGAGAAAGGAAAAGAAATAGAGACACTGGGAACAGAAGAGGAGAGGAGGGGGGGACAGAGAGGGGAAGAGAAGGAGAGGGGAGGGAGAAGAGGGGTGGTTGGTGGCCAACTGAAAGCAGGAGAGAAAGAGACAGAGACAGAGAGACAGAGAGAGGGAGACTCGCTTTCACTGAGTCCCCTACACAGCCCCTTTATGAGTGACTTAGTGATGACATGGCCATGCATGCCCTGTCCATCATTAGGGGGCGGGGTCAGCAGAATGCTGGTTTCCAACAGAGAGCCCTGGGGAAGAGTGGAACAATGATTAAATGAATATTAACAATCACCAAAAGAAGCAGAGAAAGGAAAAGACAATCAAGCACTGGCCTGATGACTAAGAATGTTAGTCTTGCATACAAGCCCTGTTGTTTTCCTATGGTTGTCAGCAATGGGAAAAATGACTGTGTTGATGAAGGTTAACGAAATGGGAGAATGTGAAGGGGTGGATCATGCTCATATTTCTTAGCCCAAATTTGAGTAAGTGTGCTTTTCTCCTTAACGTCCCTGAAAATATGATACTGTATTCTGCACACAATGCCCCTGAAAATATGATACTGTACTCTGCACATGACAATTTTTCTCTTTTGCATATTCAAAAAGAGAGCTCCTGGTGTCTGAGCAAGACTCCTACTGCACTCCTACTGTATGTGAGTGCTCTGAGTGGACAGAGCAACTTAGGCATTAACTGTACTGGAGAGGTGAAGTGAAAAAACATGGGATAAACAAGCCAGTGAGCGTTGGCCTTCCGTGTCACTTGTTTACGGAGAGTAGCTTTCAAATTATAAAAGGATGTCCCCACTACAGTAGCTGTCTATGTAGTGTTTAGTCTCCCTCCATCCCTCAATCCTCTTCCTCCCCTTCCCACATAAAAAAGGCAAGGAGGGAAAGTCCTTCATATGCCTTTCCAGACTTTCCTACACCCTCTTTATTTGGCATCCGTTTTGTAGCCTGTGAGGTTGAGATTCAGTGATCTGATATCCCAACTGCATGGATAGTGAACAGTTGCTTGGAACACACTCTCCTGGTAAAATTTGAATTGCCTAAGGGGCCTTGAAGGTTTAGGCTGGTCAAAACACCTTCCTCAGACCACACTTAAACTGGAAACGTTGCATTACACCTCAGTGGGTAGCAAGAGGTAGGTTTTCTCTTGCTCAAGCTCAGAAGGATGAAGGTGATGCTGAAAGAACCATATCATGAGAATAACCAAGTCATGCTCATGTTCTCACATTCCAATTGCAAGATAGGCCTGTGGATGTGCTTGTCAAAATGGACCTCTTACTTCCTGTCTTCCCTTTCTTCAGTTCCTTCTCTCTCTTCCTTCCTTTTCTCTGCTCTCTCTCTCTCTCCCCCCCCCCCCCCCTCTCTCTCTCTCTCTCTCTCTCTCTCTAGTTGCCTTTTTGAGTCAGAGATTCACTCTGTATTCCAGCTGGCCTGAAATGCCGATCCTACTGTCTAGGCCTACAAAGTGATGAAATTACAATTTTACATCATCATGCTTATCTCAACCTTGGATTTTAATTAAAAATGGCACATATAGAAAGTGACAGGAAGAACAACACAGAGAACCTTGTTTTATTTAGTAGCTGTATTCAGAAGTGTGTATTTCAACTCTGATGAACAAAAGATTTTGACAAAGGTTTAATGCTGAGGCATTGAGGCTCAGAAAACAGAAATGGCCAATTCATGCGCAATTTAATGACATATGTATATGTTGTATTTACTGCTTTAATTTTAATGTCCATCCCCTCTTTTGCTTTCAAGGAAGTTTACAAGTTCGCTATCAGCTAAGCAAGGAAGAAAGTCATGTGTTCACCATCAGCACAGAGAACTTGGCCAACAGAAGGGTGCATCAGGTGAAGATTAGCCGAGAGGGGCCAGAGCTTTCCATTCAGGTATTTCACTTCTCATTTTTTCACTCAGCCTACATGCCAAGGCTTCTTCATCAAACATGTCTGAGCTTCTGACCCAAGCCACATTCTGTGGTACAGAGTCTCCCTAGACTCTGGTCCAGCGCTGAGCCATGCTCCTCCTACTCACTGGCATTGTCATCACCCGGGAAATAGCTAGAAATCCAAAACCTTGAGTCTGTGCCACTGGAGCTATTCCATCAGAAACTACTGGAGAGGAAGAGAAAACACTGTCGATTTTAGTGCTCAAGTTAAATCAGTTATTAACCACATTGAGCTATGAAGGAAAGCATGCAAAGAGAAAAGCACAGAAGACTGCAGGAAGAGAGGGGAAGAGGGCATAGTGCACAGGTGGGTATACAGGAGGGGAGAGATGGGGTGGAAGCCTTCAGGCAGTCACAGTTTGCCTATACACATCACTAACTAGTTCCTAGTGCAAAATGGGTCTTGACAATGAGGAAGAGTTGACTAGGTAGAGAACACAGAGAAGGTTCTCGAATTGTTCATGTGAGCACAGGCATAATTATCTGAGTAAACAGAGTGTGATAGGTCCCTTTGTAAGATTGGTGACTCTGGTTAAAGAGCCAAAGGCAGAGCAGGGCAGATCTCAATAAAGTCCAGTCAAAGTCTAGACAACCCCTCTACCTAAAGAGAAAATGTTAGCTTAGCAATCACCATTTTGCTTTGGTGAGTTTAATCCATTCATCTGTGTCCTTGACTTTTGTCACTTCAAATGCCATCTTCTTCCCCTGCCAGGAACAGGTGCAATGGCATCTGCCCTCTCAGAAGTTGACGTTGGTCTCTTCTTCTGTGAGCAATATATTATTCAGAAGAGACATTATACATTTTTATTTGCCTATCTCCTCCCCCCTATCTCCTACCTGGACTTGAGGGTCATGTGTTCTCTCCTCACTGTGGCTCAGCTCAATATCTCAGAGTTCTAAGGCCTTCCCTATTAAGTGAGTCAGATGTCATGGACTTGCCACAAGCTCGGATCCAACATTCTCCTGTCTTCCAGCCTTTCGACCACCTTTCCCGCTCCACCAAATAGCTACCTGAAACACAATCCACATAGTTATTAAATGCATCAAATACAAGTGAACACATCAACTGAGATCTTTATGGCTCTAGAGAAGAAACCCTTTTCTCACCAGTTTTGCAGATGGCTAGACTTTATCATTTTATTTTCAAATTCCTTGGAAAACTAGATATATATCAATTTCCAAAGTGTATCTTCTTTGTTAGTTACTGTATTCATTGCCGTGAAAAAATATGTAAGAAATAATGGTTGGAATGATTCTGGTTTGCAGTTTGAGAGTACATTCTGCTTTGCTAACAGGAGCATGAAGCAGCTGGTCACATTCTTTCCTTAGTCAGGAAGCACAGAGAAATGAATGAATGTGTTCAGCCCATTTTCTACTTTGTTCTTATTTGAGAATTACAGTTCCTGGAATGGCACCACACACATTTGAAGTGGGTCTTTCTACCTCGGTTAATCCAATCCAGAACCCACACAAATATGCCTAGAAGTTTGCTTCTTTGCTAAAATTTAAAATTCCGTGTAGATGACAATCAAAATTAACTATTGTTCTTTCCTTCCCCACAGTCCCACCATGTTATACAAAAATTGTACTGCTCAAGATATAAATGAGGTTATTATTTGTGAAGTGTGAAATATTTCTGGGGAGGCATGAACAAATGTCCACTTATTCCATCTAGAGAACTGACAGCAAACCAATATAAGGATGCAGCTAATTCCAAATTAGTGAACCAGTGAGTTTTAGGTTACCAACAGGCATACAGTTGAGGGGTTCCAAATGCAGAAGTGACTTAAAGACATGACTATAATCCAATCCAGCATAGCTGGCGACTGACCAAAGCTGAAACCTGGCCTGCACTGTTCAACTTGAAGGCAGATCAATAGGTAGGAAAATGTTTGTTTCAAGCAACTCAGTTTGGGAAGCTAAGTTCCTAGCCATAGTGTATCTGGTCAGTTTCAGGGACTTCCTGAAGACTTTGAATTATTTAATGAGCTTCCCTTTAGGACATAATATTTCACTTCCCCAAGTGTTAAGTTCCCACCCTTTCTTCTTGAGCCAAAATTACCAGATATGGCCTGTTATGACATAAAGCCAGACTTGGGTTAGAGGGGCCACAGCGAGACTGGGGCTGTGATAATTTTTATTGAGATAAATTAGAGTTTTTATACCCTTATCAGAAAGAGAATATAGTGGTAATTGTCAGGATCAATACACTTGTAGTTGCCAGGATACAATGACATTTCAAAGCTACAGAGGTTATACAAGATTAATGTTTAATACTAATTACCCTGTTAAGTTTTCATGCTTTCTCAGCTTATAAGGGAAAACACAGAGATACATAACATGACCTGAAGTCTTCATTGAATGTGTGTGTGTGTGGGGGGGGTGTCTGTTTCTCAGAAACTGAAAAGCACACAGTGTCCCAAGAACCTTTGGCTATAACCTGAAAGCTTATGTCACATACCTCTAAAGTCAGCTAGACCAGACCAACTTCATGGTTCCCTGTACCCAAGCTTTCCTCCAATGGAGGAGGGTGCTACACAACATTGGAGCATTTCAGCCTTATCCTTACTTGTCATATTCCTGACTTGTGACACAGAAATTGCTCCCACCCTGTGGGGCTTGACTTACATACTTTTTGGACAGTATCAGTCTTCTCTGAGGTTTCTTCTGTCATATTAGTTGATCACTGCTGTCTCTTTTTGAGTCCTCTTCTTCTCTGCTACCCACTGGTGCACATAGGACTCTGTTAGACTCCTGCCCTATTGTAGCTATGGTTATGCGATGACTTATCTTATTCAATCTTGTACTTTTGAATGCTACGCATTTTCCACTATGTCAATGTTTATCTTCATCGAGACCTCTCCTGATGTCCTGCAACCTTGCTCCCTTGATCTTCCTGGACAGTGCTCATTATCTTGGACTCATTTTGTTTTCTCTTAGGAACTCTTGACATCTGATATGGGATATAAAATATTTACTTACTATATGTACTTTAACTCTGCTCTAGAATGTCAATTTGATAGAAACTGGAATTTGGTTTACATTCATTATTGAAGAGCTTGGTCTTTACCAAGAAGTCCAAAGCATTGGGTCCTCAGTGAATGAGTGTGATGGATTCCACATGGCTTCAGGAGCTATGTGAGTAAGATTGATGTGACCTTGTGGAAAAGGAGAGATGTTCTACTTTCACATCTGTTGCTGCAATAATATCCTGATGAAAAAACAAACAAACAAACAAACAAAAAACAACTTATGTCAGAAGGGATTTATTTTCACTCATAATTCCAGATTACAGTGTACCATATGAAATCAGGGTGGCAGGAAGTTAAAACTTGTCCCATTGGTACTCAAGAGCAGAGGGAAATGAGTGTATCTATGACCCCTTGTTTGCCTGTGTCCAGATTGATTTTTCTCCTCTCATAGTGTTTATGACTCCCTGACTAGGGAATGGTACTACTCACAGTGGGTCTTCTCACATCAATCATCTGAAGACAATTCCGTACAAACATGCGCATGGGTGGGTACAATGTTGGCAATCTCTCATTAAGATTCTTTTCCAGGTTATTCTAGGATAGGTCAAGTTCTTTCTTAAACCAGGACAAGTGGGATTACTTTAGCTTATAAAGTTGGGAGTATACTGGTTGGAGCCTCATTATTTGAGGCTCATGGAGAGGATTTCAGGGATGCCAGGCTATAGTGTTGGGGACCACTTTAATGTGGCCTGTGGTGAAAGGTAAAAATGACTATTAATTATTCTAATTATATGGAAGTACAGGAATAATTCTTGGATATGTAACACAAATAATTACCATACCATTAGAAATTAACCTCGTACCTATTGCAATATTTCCTCATGTAAGTAAGGGTCACACCTTTGAGTATCTTTGGATGGAGGCGGGAGGGCAGCTGCTGAACTGATGAATGGCAGGAATTGTAATGATAACTTTCTGTTTGTGTAGTGTATGTGACAACCTCACGTGTCATTCCTTATGAGGCACAGTTCCTCCTCGGGTTTTTGATACAGATACTCTTACTGATCTAGAAACCAAAAAGGAGGCTATACTTGATCTCCAGTGATCTCAAAAGATCTCCCTGAATCTTCCTCCCAAATTCTGGGATTACAGACAGATGTCACCACATGTAACTTTTACATGAGTTCTGCAGACCAAACTCAGGTCCTTGGACTCATGGACACATACTTCATTAATTAGTTATCCCTGCAAGCCTTGTTTGTTGATACTTTTAATAGAGCCATGATGGAAAACTGGGGCATGTTCTGTACAGCATTTTAAATATAGTACTTTTTAATACTTTTGTGTTTTCTGTTCTCTCCACAAATAAAAAAGAAAAGTAGAGGACAAAGAGAGCAGTAAGATGTATGTGGTTTCCTTCTCCACATAATTTTTGCCAATCAATTTATAGTAGATAATAAACAGCCACTTGGTATTTGCACAGTACTGAAAAAAAGCAGAAAAGACTAGAGCAAAGACTTTCTGTTTTTATCCTTATGTCAGCTTATTGGTCCATGGACCATCCTTACCCATTCCTAAGCCAATCTACATTTCTTCTTTCTTTTTCATTTATAAAAAGCCACTTAGTGTTAAAGAACAAAAACAATCAACATCAGCAAAAGCAGGACCCTAGGACATCTTTAGCCCCTGGTCAGCCAATAAGGTACATTTCAGGAGTGCTGCCCATCTGTCAGAGAAAAAGACAGGTGGTTATCAATGTACTCAGCCACCAAGATCATAATCTTAATTTGGCTATTCAAATTGCCTTTTCAAGGACAGGCAGACAAACCTGCCTACTTAAAGACACAGACCAGGATCCCAAGTCCAGAAATAACATGGCCATGAGAAACTGTTAGTATAATAGTGTGTGGCTTAGACAATTTATTCATCTTTGTGACTTTTCTGGAATTAGGTTGTTCTATGTAATAGCATTGTAAGGAGAAAGATATTTGGAAGTATGCATTTGTATCAAGTTTTGTATATTCTTTACTAATGGCCTAATTTCCCATTCAGTGATAATAGTATTAAATCACACACCATGGGCCATACCTTATAGTAAAATCATAGGATAAATAACAAGATCATGAGGTTCTGAAGAAAGTCACTCTTAGTGGCCATATAAGGAGAGAGTTGTGAAAGGAAGAACTGGATGGAAATATAACATATTAGTCCTGATTTATTTGATTTTTTTCCCAAGCAAAGCAAACTCACCCACCCCATTGTATTACTGTCTATCAACATTACTAGCGTATGTACTAGAAAATGATAAGGACAGTATCATTTGCATGTTAAGAGTAGAGCTTGGAGGGCAGGAGTTGGGGTTGAGATGGAAAAGCATGTGTCTTGTCAGCATGAGGATCTGAGTTCAGATCTCAGTAGCATTATAATGATCTAGCAGAGATGGCAAGCACACACTTGCAATCTCTGTGATGTTGAGAGAGAAGATAGAGACATACTGAACCCTAGGAGCTGGCTAGCCAGGTAACCTAGCCTATTTCTAGGCCACAGAGAGACTCTGACTCAGACAAAAGCCGGAAGGCACCTGAGAAATGGCACCTGGGGTTGTCCTCTGACTTTTACGTACACATACTTTGATGTACACTCTTCCACCAAATAATAGAGAATGGAATAATACACTGGATCTGACTAGATTGAGAAAAATGGAGATAGATTGCTGGTGTAGCCTGGAAAAGAGAACAAGATGAGGAGGAGCGAGCCAGAATCAGTGGCATGTGAAGCCAGAGGTGATTACTAAAGATGGCCCTTAGAAATCAAGCACTGGAGAATCCAGCAGTGACTTCTTTTGGACCTGGATTGTGCCGTGATCAGCCAGGTCTGTCAGTGACAGCTTTTCTCTATTTATCAAACTGTATTTTGTGACTAGGACGCCCTACAGTCCACACCTGAAAACAGAACAAGGTTATGGGAGAAAAGCAGACGGTGGTGGCTGCAAGAAAAAGAGGGGAGAAAAAGTGAAAACGGGTAACACTGCTGGGTCCCATTTAATGTGCCATACCAGACACCAGATGGGCCTCTGTGTTTACTTGTTTTCAGTGAAGAGTTTGGTGAAGAATTCTCAGTGGGGAAATAAATACTTGACAATAACACTGTGGGATATCCAGGGGAATGGAAGTGTGAAAAACCTTATTTTACAAGGAAGAAAGAAAGGGTAGTTTATGTGCATTGTGGGAAAACTGGTGGAGCATTTCTAATCTCTCTTGAGAGAAAACCCCCGAGAGGAACCCTCCCAGTGTGAGCCTATAAAGTATTTACAAAGGGATTGCTTTATGCCTTCTGAAAGCCTGGGCTGATGGCATTGTTTTGTTTTCTTACAGATGGACCAGCAACTCTTCAGCTATAACTTCTCCCCAGAAGTCGAGTTCAGGACCGCAAGATCACTTATCCTAGGCAAAGTCTCAGGTCTGTTTTTCTGTCCTATATTTTCAATGTATGTCGTTAACATTATTGAGTTAGTAGTCTCTGTTGGTGTGGTCAGTGACTCGCAGCTGCAGACATTGCCGCCATCTGTAGTCTTGACACAGGTTTTGAAACAGGATGTACTAAGTCACCCGTGTGGCAATGGTGCACAATGCTGCTCATGTCTGCTTTATGAGTTGGTGATTTCATTGCTAATGGCTGGTTATTTGTGGTAATGATTTTGTTGGTTAATTATTAGTAATCTTGGAGAAATGTAATCAAGTAATAAAGTAAAATAATACCATTTTAATTTAAATTTTAATTTATTAATTCCTTTTACAAAGTCAATTTCTTACTTGAATTTCTTTAGTTATAAACTCACATTGGAAGAGTGAGTTCTCCTCTCGTTCCCAGACAGGTTTTGTGAATTTTCACTTTCTGGTTGCAAAAATGTATTGCTCGTTGTGCGCTGAACTTTTCAATTGGATATTCTAAGCAATAACTGATCTTTAACAATGACTTTTAGAGCTCAAATATATCTTGCTTATGACTGATGTCGTAAGCTTTGGTCACAAATTGGTCATCCTTTCCTCATGTGTGATCTTGTGTATTGCACATGTGCACGTGTATAATGTGTGCTGTGTACACAGTCACATGCGTGTCTGTGGGCAATCAACAACCAACCTCGGGTGTTGGCTGTTGTACCTTGTTTGACACAGGATCTTTTGTTCTGTGCCTTGTGCAGAAGTGTAGAGGATTCTGGCTTGTAAGCTTCCAGGAATTCTGTAAGAGCATTGGAATTTCTGATACCTGTACGACCAAGTCCCGTTATTCTTGAATTCTGTGGATTGAATCTCAAACCTCCAAGAAGCTATCTGTGGTTTTGTTTTGTTTCTTTGTTTGTTTTTACTATATATACAATCTAGAGTTTTGCGTTTTATAATTAATAAATACAAGTCTTTCAGTTTTTGAAATTACTTGTACATTTGGACTTCATATGCCCCCCCCATTTTCAACTAGTTTTGTGATTTTCATATCTTTATAGTTCTGTTTGTCACAGTACAGTTTAGAAAGCATTTACTACTTTGGGCATCTTAAGCAGCAGTGGACAGCACAAGAGAGCACTTTCTGAGGAAAGTTTTGGTTGCACCTTTTGGAATGACTTCTCAAAAATTTTGAGGATCTTTGTGGGAGTGTGGGGTGTTCTCATTTACTTACAAATCCCTAATAAGGGTACAGAAGGTGCTCTAACAGAATATAGATTTACAAGACAAAGGAGACATACTCGGAAAAATAGCATGCTGAACATGCTTCACTAACAGTGTAACAGTTTAGATAGGACCAGAAATAATCTGCCATTTCTCCAGTCTTCTGGATTCATTAAGAATATATAACATTTTTAGAACATTATGGGAATTGACAATGAGTCTAGAAAATGTCAATTTCCACTTCCCAAGTAGTAGACAGATGAATCAATCAGTGTGAATGACTTCTGAATGGGCTTATTTGTTACCGTACCACTTTTATGCTTAATAATAATACTGTAATAGTAAAAATGCTGCTCCTGAAGCTGTTTGTGCTGGGGCATGAATGTGGCCCTGGCGAGTTTTCCCTTCCTGTTCTCTGTATGTTAGACATTTATGCTTTGAAAAAAAAAATGTCATTCTCTCCTTTCTGAGCCAAACCTTTTTGATATATATATATATATATATATATATATATATATATATATATATATATTCTGCCTTAAAGTCCCTGCATTTTAAACTTTTATCTGAAACAAGGTATTTATCTCACCTTGAGTCTTGGAAGATCATTTTGCTAGACAGCTGAAGGGTGTTATATTTCAGATGGGAGGTGAAAGAGAGGGAGGGAGAACACACATATACTCTGGATATATATATATATATATATATATATATATATATATATATGCAGAAGCACTGGTTCATGACTGCTACCAAAGCACATCTTTCCTAGCTCTGCATCCATGATGTCATGATGGGAATTTGAAATTGTCTGCATGAGGAGAGATCACACTGTGGAAATCACAAATGTGCATGCCAATCACAGCTCCTTCCTATGTGCTGATTTGAATTGGAAAATTTACCAAATGAGCACACATGGCCTCTGTCATCTCCTGGCTTCAGAGGTTGCCTTTGAAATTCCTTAGAATTGGTTTTACTTTTGAAAGTTCTAGTTTCTGCACACCATCACACACAGCTGCTTTACTGTATATTGTAAAGCATAAGAAACTTGGTGTGTGGATGTATGGGTTGATGTTATGCAGTTGTATGTGTCTGGTTATACATTTCTTTTCAAAGTTTCCTGTTTGATACTTTATACTTCTTGAGTCTTTTAATTAGTTCTTATATATCTAGTCACATGCAGTATTAACCTTTATTCATTAGTTCTCAGATTCACAACGATCGATTGTTTTATATTTTATGTATTTAAATCTTTGAGATCTGAATTTAATCAATTTTGATCTTCCTAATTTCACCCTCATGTATTTTAAAAATGCTGACTGCTTTTAAAACAGAATGATCTCGAAGAATATAAAACACTTTTATTTTTTGATCATGGTCTTCTGTATGTTTGTGTGTTGTGTATATGGAGGGATGTTGGTGAATGTGAGTGCATGCCAGGGAATGTTTGGTTCAGGAAACCAAACTCAATTCAGGCTTCTCAGGCTTTCATGGCAAACACTTTATTTGAAGACAATTTTTATTTACTTTTAATCTCTTAATGTTTTCATTTCCTCAAAGGTGCTTAATTCCAATTAATAAATGGATCATTTTTTATTGATAATTCTCTTGTAAACTCTCTAGAGGAAATTTGATGTTGGACATGATGTTCATAGGACCCTCCACTTACTTAAATCTAACAATGACATGAATACAATTATAAGTAAAGAAAGATGCCTAAGTATTTGAGGGCCATATTGTTCTCTGCTTGTGGCGCTTTCATATCAGTTATCAGGTAGGAGTAGGCTGGGATATGACTGAGTAGAGAATGCAATAAAAGCCCTCGCTTTTCAATAGAAGAGTTTTTCACAAAGCCAGTTGGCCTTCGTCCATAGTCCACACCCAAAATGTTGTTAGGATGGGCTCACATTTGTGGCCCATGAATGCTCTCTATCTGAAAATGAGTGGGCCATATTAGTATCTGGCTCATGATCCAGGAGACACACTTAGCTTGAGAGAAAACCGAAGAGGGTGGGGTGTGTGGTTCAGTGAGTAAGATCCATCCGCTAATTTAATGACCTGGGTTTCATCCCCACAGCCCACATGACAGAAGGGGATAGATGAGGATGTCTTTTGTACATGTTTCTCTTGTAGTTGATGAATCAAGCACTGTGGCCATTGAGGCAGGATGACAGGTGGGACTAGGAGGCGAGGATTCTGAAAAGTGTAGGCAGAGAGAAGTCATCGTGTGAGCCCGGGGAAGAGAGGGCACATAAGAATGAGGTGTCTCTCCAGTAAGATAAGATCACGTGGAAATACTTAGATAATAGAAATGGGTTAATAATTAAGACAGAAATAGGCAATAAGAAGCCCAAGCCAATGGTCAACAGCTTTATAACTAATATAGTATCTGCATGTTCATTTGGGGCTGACACAGCTCTGGGACCAGACTGGCCGGTAAAATGCTCATAACAGAGAATTGACTCCTGAAAAATTTCCTCTGATTTCTACACATGTGTTCCCTCCTCCCAAATAAATAAATATAATTTTAAAATTAAAAACAAAAAGAAAGTGAGAAAAAGGACTGTGGCCAAGCTCCAGAGCACTACAAGAGTGAAAGAAACAAGGGTTTGGACCTAAATGAATAAGTGTGCAGCATAGCACAGAGAAAGCAAGGGTAGAGCAGAAATTGATGTTCAGACTTGATAACAAATGCCACCCACTCTAAGATTTTAGAAAAGATTACTCTGAGGGACATTCTCTACTGTAGAATAAAGATCTGCAAGCATTTTTCATAGTAGATTGTAAGAAGAAAATGTGTATAAAATTTGTCTCAGTTTTCTTCAATAGCATTCCATTTCAAAGCCAAACCAAATTTGTTCATTTTCTTTCTGTGAGTGGAAGGAGAAATTCACTGTCCTAAAGTCTGCTGATTTAGTACATACTCTGCACCAGCGCTGGAACTTTAGGCACCAGGATGAATAGGTTAGATTATTTTCTGAGGGTTTCTGAGACTCTGGCCCATGAAGACAGACAATGCCACTGTCTACATTAAAACTGAAGTAGGGCTGGCAAGATGGCTCAGTGGGCAAAGGTCCCTGACACCAAGCCTGACAATCTAAGTTTGAGCTCCAGGACCCAGGGGATGAGAAAAATAAATTGCCCACATTGTCCTCTAACATATACATACATACACACATATTTTTACTGTAAAATGCAAGTATACAACATCACAAAATGGTCTTAAAGCCAAGGTGTGTTGACTCTCCGTGAATAATGATGCTTTTCTCTGGCAATTCATAAGATGTTCTAAGTTTGCATACAAGGGAATAAAACCCTCGATGTTACCTCCCAGTGTTGGTATTATGTGTGATCACTGGGCAGCTGCTCATAATTGCTTGTTTTTTTTGCAAGTTTGCTATAATAAATATGAATTAATTTCATAATAAAATATTTGCTTAAGAGACTGGAGAGATGACTCAGTAGTAAAGAGCACTGCTGCTCTTCCAGAGGACCTGGGATCAATTCCCAGCATCCACATGGCAGCTCAGAGTTGCCTGTAATTCCAGTTCCAAAGGAACTTAAATCTATGGCAAAATACCAATGCATATAAAACAAAAATAAGTAAATTTAAAAAAATGATTGTTTAAGAATCGAGATTACTCTGTATATAAGATTTTGTACCCTACTCTTTTGTTTCAATTTAACATAAGCATTTGCTTCCATCAATAAATGTCACTGTAAACATAACACAGCTTCATTGATTCATAAGTTGCACTTATTAAATATCTCCTTGTCTCTAGGTGTTTGACTAGCCACTAGTATTTGGGATTTCAAAATGTTCCCATGTAAATACATAATCTTAAGTTTTCTGAACTTTTAATTGTTACCATAGTTACATTTGTTTATGGGGCACAGTCAGACCTTTCATTATGTATTTATAATGTGTAAGGATTAGGTCACTTTTATTACCATAAA